CCCTTTGTACGAACAAAAGTAAGAGAAATTTAGGATAAGAATACGAACATGTTCTTGCATGAGGGACAATGATCTCATACAAGGAATGCAGCAACATCCACAATTAACCATGATTGCTACAAAAATAGCTATAGAGGTGAGTGCTGATATAATGATACCTTTCCATGCCAGGTATTACACAATACTGTTCAAGTAGCAACAGAGTGACTGCACATAGTCCAACTAACATCACTACCACCACTGCGGCCCTCTTCTGACCATCCCAAAACATATTGCTTCATAAAGTAACAGTAATAACCATATAACACTGACTAAAATGCAACAACAAAACGTCCACAAACTATAGAAAATAATAAACTCTCACAGAGCAGCATTCCTCATCAGACAGCCTAGTTGTCTCCTGAAAAGCAAGCAAAATAATTCAAAATTAAATTCAAAAACAAGACAGAAAATGTTACTTTTATAATGTGCCACACGTCCCCTGGCGTTGCTTGGGTGTAGTGAATCCTCCTAAGCCCCCAAGTTTTCTTCATGTAATGTGAGACTCTAAAATGTAATGTTTTTATCGGGGGAGGTGTCCGTACTATACCGTATGTGGCTATTCCAACACCGAGTGGCCCAATTTAACAGAGTCCTTCTGAGCCCACACGCAAATTAACTTGGCTGTTTTGGTCTACCAAGCAAAAGACACAGTTCAGTTTACGAGTTTGAGGTCCTCTGTCATGTCCACCAGATTTCTGCCTGGCTCCCTGGCTTGCGCGCACTGGCTCCAATGGTACCAGGTGTCCCCCTTTCCTTTCAGGCGGACGGCATGGGATGTTCTCTCAGTTACCTGGTAGGGACCGGTCCAGCATGGATCTGGCCACTTCCTCTTAATCACCCTCAGCAACACCCACTCAGCAGTTGGCAAGGTGGGTTCTCCCAGGGGGCTGTGTTTGCTGTGGACCTGCTGAGTAAAGTTAGACACCAATGCTTTCAACTCATCAAAATATACCTTATGGTCCACCTTAGGATTCTTCTCGGAGGTGTGGATGCTGGCCTGCGGCCCTGGGAATGGTCGACCTGTGGTTAACTCATAATGGGTAAAACCGGTGCTGTTATTAATAGAAGCTCTTATAGTCATTAGTGCTATTGGTAATGCATCAAGCCAATTTAATTTTGTCTGTGCACAGATTTTTCCCAATTTTTGTTTGACATTTTGATTCATTCTTTCAACTTTTCCTTGTGATTGAGGATGGTAAACTGTTCCAAAGGCAAGTTTTAAGCCTAGCATTTTTTTTCCCACAGCCTGCAGGTCTGTGTTTTTAAAATGAGTGCCATTATCAGATCTGATTTTTTCAGGAAAACCATGCCTCGGGATATAGTGATTTATCAAGAACTTTACAACTGTTTTGCTGTCTTCCCTTTTTGCAGGTAAGGCCTCTGGCCATCCTGTAAAGGCGTCAACACACATCAATACTGTATATACTTGTGTCCTCTTACTGATTCTCCCATGTCTGTGTAATCTATGATTATTTCCTGCCCTGGTCTGAAAAGGAAAGGGAAAGATCCCAGTTCTGGTTTGATTGCTGGTCTGGCATTGTAAGTGGTACAAATATCACAAGTGATATATCACATGATTAGCTATCATGTCTTTCATGTGAGGGTGCCACCATTGTTTAAGATTTTTCTCCATCTGTCTGACCCCTACGTGACCCAAACCATAAGCTTCCTGAAAAGCTTTTCCCCTCAATGTCATTGGCAAAATCCATCTATTCTGCGGTCCCTTCCACAAGCCATCTTCTTTATCAATCACACCCCCTTTTCTCTTCCACAATGACTTTTCCTCTGGAGAGGCCTTCTCTTGTGCTCTCTGGACTTCTTCTCCCCACCAATAACTGTCCTGCTGACACTCCTCCTCCACTGTCACCGTCTAGCCCCTGTGTATCCTGCTGCATCTTTTGCTGCTCTGTCTGCCTGCCTGTTTCCCTCTGCTGTTTCCGACCCAGTCATGTCATGACCTTTGCACTTCACCACTGCAACCTTCTTTGGAAGTAACAAACTCTCAGCCAACTCTTTCATCAACTTCTCATGTTTAATGGGTTTCTGTCCTGCTGTCAAGAACCCTGCTCTTTTCCACTGAGGTAACTGGACATGAACTGCACCATAGGCATAAGCTGAATCTGTGTACAGAGTAACCTCTTTTCCAGCTCTTTCCTTTAAAGCTTCTACCACTGCCTGAATTTCTGCCTTTTGAGCTGACTGTTGTCCTTCTAGCTTTCCTGACTGCAGAATCTCAATCCTTTGACCTTCCTGTCTCACCACTGCAAATCCTGATTTTGAGTTACCATCTTCCATCCTGAAACAACAACCGTCTGTGTACAAAACTTCTGAGCCTGGTATGTGTTCTGTCTCTAAATCTGGCCTGATTTTTTCTTCTGTCTGCACTTTTCTCATACAGTCATGTGTTGGTCCTGTTGTCATTCTGTCAGCCATGTTTATGCCTTCATGTGAGAATAGTAAATTATGAGCCCCTAATATTTTACTCTTTCTCTGTTGTCTCAATGATGTCATCGTGAAAATTTGTGAGTTGACATAGGCTACGACATTGTGAGAGGTGAGGATGTTTAAAGGATGACCCATTACAATGTGAACTGTTTTTTGGATGATTTTTGCTAGTCCTGCTGCAAGTTGGGTGCAAGGTGGGTGTCTTATTTCTGTATTGTCTAGCAAAACACTAGCATACATTAAAATCTGTCTCTCACCCCCCTTTTTCTGAAACAAAATGCCATTTACAGCTCCATTTGTTTCAGAAACATCTAGATGAAAAGGCAAGGAGTAGTCAGGCAAAGCTAGATCTGTTGCTCTGGCCAAAAGCTGTTTCAAGTGAATGAAAGCTTCTTCAGCCGGCTGCGTCCACTGTAGACGTGCTTTTAAGTTTCTCATGCCCTGAGTTTTAACTAGATCATGAATAACAGTAGTTAGATCAGTGTATTCAGGGACATACTGTCTACTGTATGTCCCTGACTACACTGATCTAACTACCATTATTCATGATCTAGTTAGATCAGTGTAGTCAGGGACATACTGTCTACTGTAGCCTGTTAGACACAGAAAAGAGAGCATGTCTTGAACAGTCTGTGGTTTTGAATGATTTAGAATAGAGGCTCTATGTTCAGGTGACAAAGAGGTACCTGTAGCTGACACAAGATGGCCTAAAAATGACACCTGGGAACGAACTRCCTGGAGCTTAGACTTACTGACCTTAAACCCTGCCTGATGAAGAAACTGTAAAATGGTGTGGGTGGCCTGCAAACAATCAGCAGAGGTCTCAAAGGCAATCAGGAGGTCATCGACATACTGAAGGAGAGTCGTGCCTGTGGGGAGGGGACAGTTAACCAGGAGATCTTTCAACACTTGATTAAAAATGCCAGGGGATAAAGCGAAACCCTGAGGGAGCCTGGTACAGCGATACTGCTGACCATGAAAGGTGAATGAGAAAATGTCTCTAACATTTTCTGCTAGGGGGAGACAGAAAAAGGCATTAGCTAAATCAATACATGTGAACCACTTATGTTTAGGGCTGAGATTAGTGAGAGCTACATAGGGGTTAGGGACAGGACAGGTAGGAGTCTGCAAAATGGCATTAATAGCTCTAAGATCATGAACCATCCTATATTTACCTGTGCCTGGTTTTTCAACAGGGAGGATGGGAGTGTTCCACTGTKAGCAGGATGGCTCCAACACACCAGCTTTCAGGAGGCCCTGAACTGTGTTTTGCAAACCTAAAGCTGCTTCAGGTTTGTGGGATACTGATAAAGCCAAATGGGATCTGTGGGATGTAGTTGAAACGAAATAGGAGAACAACTGCTGAGGCCTACGTCTTCTGGCCCTTTTGACCAGAGYGAGTCAGGGAGTGATGACAACATTTTAGGAACATCAGGGTGATCTGATTTTTCTCTACCATGATCTCTGGAAATCAGTTTGTGTGTCAAGTTGCCCTGGTCAGAGGTGGTAACAGCAATAGAGTAGCAGTCAGTTGAGGGTGAGAATGAGACAGAAGGGAGCTGAGTGTGAGTCCAGTCTGTAGCACCAAGCGCTGCTTTTACCATGGGGCCTAAGTCTTTAGCCTGGTTTTTGGGGGGGGGGGGGGCAAGGGAGACATGTGTCACTGCCTCTGTCATTATTCTATACCACTCTAACTATGAGGGGGACAGAGTGACATGTGAGGCTACCCCTTGAGGTCTTACAATGATCTTATCAGAGGGTAAAGACCACTCTGTATCTTGTAGGTCTGAAACAAAAGCTTCATGATAACATTCATCTGAGTCACGGTCATAAAAGAGAGTGACATGAAGAGGGTCTAAGGGAGGAACGTAAGGGCGGAGGGCATCCACCCATGGCTTCCAAGACAGGAAAGCAGAGAGGATGCCAGTGTGCTGTGGATTTTCTGGATGCAATAGGGCCCAATAAATGTCAGCCACTTCAGGTTGGATCAGTTGAGTGAGAAGATGATTGAGAGGATGCAGAACATGTCCATTGTGTCCCATCCAACAGTCTGACAGAGAGTCCAGTGGATTCACACAGGATTGAGGCCCCTGATTTCTTTAAAAGGTCATGCCCCAACAAGTTAACGGGAACATCACTGGAGAGGACAAAGGGATGGGTTGTAGATTGGGTCCCCACTGACACAGGCAAAGGTTTAGACACAGGCAGTTTTTGTTGTTCCCCAGAAAAACCCACAACAGACACAGTAGAAGTTGTTGCATATTTGTCATACTCAGAGTCTTTCAAAGTAGAATAGGTAGCCCCAGTATCCACTAAGAAAGGGAAGGTCTTGTTCAAGACAGTCATTTGCATAGAACCCCACTTCTCCTTATCTGTGGCCCGTCGGCCACAGGCTGCTGACCACTGCATGTTTTACCTGGAGTCTGGGTCTTGTCTTGGTAACTTAAAACTCACTTTACTGTTAAATACGCGCGTTTCTCAATAATTTTTACTTTACTGTAACTTTATCCCTGGAGTCCAGCACATTGACAACAAATTTGCCTATAAGAAGACCAATCACAGGGCTTTAAAGGTAGTCTGCTCACCTTCTGATATTCTGTTGAGGACGTCCGAGCATCAGTGTCCTGGACTCTTTCCACCCCGTAACGTCCAAACGCAGAAGAGATCTCGGTGTGGACCTCCAGATTTTGTTGCGGACAAACACCGAACTTACTCTCTCTCCGCCCGAGCTCGTTTGATCCTCCCACGTGGACCTGGTACCGAGGTGAAAAATATAACATACAGGTACTTTTAAAGGTTAAAACCTCCTTTATTATTTTTTTTAATAAAACACTTATGATAAGATACAGTATTGTTTAAAAGCATAAATGCACATTTATAGAGACAACCTTACAACCTGATTCTTGGAGAATCCGGTGCAACTCAGCTCATCTGCTGGCAGATTGTATGTCTAATGAGGAGAACAGCAGCGTCTTTATTCTCCTCTTACACAGAGACTCAGGATCCTCCCTCAGGAATGCAGTTCTAACTGGACTCAACTGTTTTCTCCCCCAGATTCCTTCAGCTTGTCTGCAACTCATCATCTTGCTTGTCAAAGCTCTACTGCTTCCTTCAGCAGTTCACAGAGAGGAGTAGGACACATAGTTTGTCTGTATAATAATAAATGAATAAAATGTGTAACACTTCAACTGATTAACACAAAATACTGCTGAATAAACTTCATGCAAAAGTGAACAATATCTAATGTTGATTATAGAACTTAAGAGTGAACAATACCTAAATTTGATTATAAAACTAAACAATACCTAAGTTTAATTATAACAAGTGACAGGACCTTCTCTACAGCCTCTACAGCAGCTCCCACCCTCTGGAACTCTCTCCCCAAACACATCTGTGACTGTACAGACATATCCACATTCAAATCACATCTAAAAACATACTTTTTCAGAACAACTTTTAATGTGTGATAAATGTCCTGATTTATGTTTGTCCTGTGTTTTTTTATGTTCACTGCTGCTATGTACTTAAGTGCTTTGCTTTTATGATGTTAGTATTTATAATTACATGTAATTTTGTTTGATTCATGTAAAAATCTACACAAATAAAATGTATTGTTACATTATCATCATAAAAATAAAACTACGAAAGGTTCTTTTCACTCTGCAACTCAGTTGCTATCGTTAGTTATAAGGAGCCCTCCTAACGATTGGAATCGTTGGCGAACATCACCTCTCTACTAAACAATTTGTGTAGTGGTTCAAAGGTTGGTTACGCAAATGTTTTGGTTAACTGTGCATTAACAGTGCATCACTTTACTCTAATTAATTCAATAAAGTTTATTTATATAGTACCTTTCATAGATATCATATCAAAAAGTGCTTAATAATAATAAAAATTTAAATTGTATACGTGAAACTCAAACCATTTATAAACATCTATACAAAAGAAAAACTGGTAAAATTTTTATGATCTCCAAGACTTTTAGTAAATACTTGTTGGACTGACGAGACAATAGTGATTTTTGGAAGGTGTGTCTTACTAGCGGTGTAAAATCATGGGGTGGCTGTGGCACAGTGGTTAGGGCAGCCAACTTGGCACCAGAAAGTTATAGGTTCCCACATGCTATGGTGTCCTTGAGCAAGACACCCAACCCCTAACTGCTGTGGATGCTTAAATAGCAGCCCACTGCTGCACATGGGTGTTTCTCATGTGTGATGGGTCAAATGCAGAACACAAATCTCAGCATTGTATGGAAATATTCATTCATGACAAATAAAGTACATTTACATCAACACGGTATTTTAGAAAATAAACACCAACAGTCAAACATGGAGGTGGTAGGTGTTGGGGTTGCTTCAGGACCTGCATGACTTGCCATGAATTATGGAGCCATGCTTTCTAACAAACATTCTTGAAGGAGAATTTTGGAGCACCAGCTGGTGACCTGAAGCTCATGTAGGTTCTGCATCAGGACAATGAAGAACAGCAGCAACATTCCTTCACATCAACATCACAAACTCATATCCAGTTATCACAACAGTTGATTGCAGATGTTATATCTCATGATGGCACAAGCAGCTATTACAGTACTGTTCTGTCACACAGGGGCAAGTTAGTTTGGAAGCTTTCTTCCCTTAATTTTGTTTCCACTCAGGTGGATTTTGTCCTATATTAGTCTTACACTCGGTTGGTGAGCTTAAACATGAAAGTTTGAAAAAAAAACTCACTTTTTCACTGGTCCTGTATACTTTATACTTCAGCAGTTCCACAGCAGCCTCTGAGCTGAATCCGTTCAGGTAACAAAGCTCAGTTTTGTGCTGCTCTTCTTTAATGCACACGTTTAAAAGACGGCAAATAAAATCCATTCTTAGAACAAGTGTGTCTGCTCTGAACGATAGCCTCACAAGGCGTTCAAAACAGACAATATTTCACATGCATGGCATTTAGAAAATGTTTCATGTGGCTTTGCTTTCATTTTGTTTGAATTTATGACTCGCATTTAAAAATCAAACACAAGCAGAACAGTTGAGATGCCTGGTCCTCCCAATGCTTCATTTCAGGCGTTTTACAGCCACAACAGTCATTCATTCAAACTTTATCCATTTCCTCTTGTGGTATCTGTGTTGTTTAGGCCCATGAGATAAAGACCTGCAAGATCCATAACTTCTAAGTTCAGATGCACACACGCAATCACATTTTGTACAGACACCATCCCATATGGATGGAAACTGCCACCCGCATCCCATTTCACAGCCTGCATATATTACCGGGCTCTTCTTCGTCTGCCTGGCTGTGACAGGGACAGATTGAGGCACCCTCTGATAGCTGCAGCAGCTACTGTTATGGGAAATGGAGCTGCACATTTACATTTACTCATTCTATTACTTTGATTGATCTCCTAGGCTACGAAGAAGCTTTTTATGGTTAGAGTGCCATGTGTTTTGTGGACTAA